CATCATTGCAGATTTACAGTTCCAATGCAAAGGGTACTGTTGCTTTCGGCTGTTCTTCTCATCTACATAAAATTTTTTAGTTAATTTGCTTGACCATTTGACCGTGATGAGGCAAAAAAATGGAGAAAAATTTTCAGATACCCTCGTCCGTTTAGAAGGATAAAGAAGCTGCAGTTCTCAGCGCCAATGAAGTATGGGGTGCATTGAGAGGACTCGAGACGTTCAGCCAGCTCGTCTTTCAGCCGAAACGAAACCATGTAAGTTGCCCCTTCTCTCCGGTTTCTGCGAAACTACGAGAAACCATCAAAGCTCTCTATCAACGCATTGTACGCCCCTTTTAGCAAAGGTATGCCTCGATTTTCTGAACAGCCTAGAACCACGAGTGCGGGCATTCTCACCTATCTTTCCCTTGCTGTAGTGAAAGGTATAATCTAGCCGCTAAGTGTCCAGTGTTCTAGAACGAAACCTTCTCTCATACATCAACGGACAGATACTTAGAGGCACCTTATCAATAGCGTTTATATTGAAATGGCCGACGATTCCGTCTTGGCGGACCCACTCGGGGTAAGAACCGCTAACGCAACTCATGCCGAACGATTAGTTGACCGTTGACTTTACAGCCTGGGTATGAACGGTATGAACACATCCACAGGACGTTTTAAAGAATCAATCTCGCAGAGAGGGTTGAGATCGCAGCAGCACTTACTCGTGTCTATCATATCGGGGGGGGGGGGAGAGAAAAAAAGCAGTGCACTTTGACCAATCACATTGGAGCCAAACCAACTGGAGAGCTCCCCTCGGTTCGTGTAACTGCTTCCTTGCTAATCGGTCTGTCAGCTCTCTCTAACCGCTTTCATAGTGAACGCCCGTAGTTCTTGGGAACTAAGTTCTGGGGACTACACCAATGCAAGTGAGTAATGTCTCTTGATTCTGGCTAAAAATCGCCATCACAAAACTCAACCGCTACACCAATTTTCAGTATCGTATCCGTACGGCATCTATTCGAGACCAACCACGATTTCCTCACAGAGGGACTCTCATTGACACTGGACGCCATTTCTTATCACCTTCGATAATTCTACAACATCTGGTACGTATCATATTATACTGTTGATTACTTGAATAGATGAAAGAAATTTTGATAATTACGAACATCCGGTTATTGGAGCATCGCTCTGGGAGCACAGCAACGGACATGGATTTCTTCATGCTTTCCATTAACACTTATCGCAAAAGATTTCTTTAAGGATGTGATGAGCCAGAACAAAATGAACGTACTTCATTGGCACATTGTCGACACCGAATCTTTCCCTTATACTTCAGCCAAGTTTCCTAATATGTCGTTGTTGGTGAGTTTTCGTTTCGATGTACTTTTACCTACACAGAACGCTATTTCTTTATTCACACTATGATGCCGCCACTGCTTTGGGAAGAAGACGTAGGCGGTGTGTGGGCTTAAAGGCATAGGTCCGCGATCAGGTACAGAAGTTGAAAATATGGCGTCGGGAGGGTAGTGTGGTCCGCGACGAACAACCTTGTACCGGTTTCGCGGCAAAAAATTGTAAGGGAGGGGCGCTATAGCGCAATATAGGTTCAGTGACGCCTCCTTTAGTAGTAAGTGCCACGCCTCTCGATTGATATCATCAAAGTTGCTGAAAGTTTTCTTAGCTAAGAAAGCCTAAAGGAGGCGGAGCAGATAGCAGTCGTAGGGGACTACGTCA